AAAGATAGCCATACTATTCAAATAAAACAAATTTCCCTAGAATGTTCTAGCATATATGCATACTTATAATATACTGCTCATAATTATTAAGTTATGATTGCATATAATCCTATCACGCATAACACTAGACCAACAATCTGCTGATAAGTGTCTACCTGAACCAACTCTCCCTACTAAAGTTATAAATAAATATCAGGCTCCACAGGCTCCTGACGACAAAGTTTTGAACACGCTGAAACGCGCGTTGAGCGTTTTCTTTTTCTTTAATCTCTGCACTTAGTAGCACTTTTTTATTTTTGTTACCGCTATGGTTATTGATTTTTAGGTGTTTATTTATTTATTTATAACTTTAGTAGGCAGAGTTGGTTCAGGTAGACACTAGTGGTTAAACCACTGTGTCAAGGTAACTTTTAGGTTGAATTGAGAGATTTATTTGATTATTTATTTTTTTGTGTGAAGCTTTTCATCTGCGTTTAGACCTGATTACCCGGTCCCTTGTTCTCTGGGGACCCTGTGCCTCTTCTCTCTCCCTAACCTCATTTACACTACCTTCCTGTCAGTCGGACACTAGGGGAACTGGAGCTTAGATGCTAGCTAGTACTCCAGACAATTGATCCCCTGGGCACCGTTTAATAGATCTCCCTTTTTTTCAAGTTATACTTTTTGTTTGCATATCCCTTTTTATCCTTAGAGTGATTAAAGGTAGGGCCTCCCTTCCTCATTTCTTATACAGTGGATCTCTCCTGATGTTGGTTTCCCCTTGTGGGACTCTACACATCACCTACTCCTATTACCTAAGAATTATTAATACTAGTGCAAATCTCACAATTGTCGTTATTTATGTTTTAAAAATATGCATCAACATTGTGTATATTATTTTTCCTGTTCTCTACTTGTGATCCCCATTCGTAATTATATTCCCTCTATTATCTATCGACCTCACGTTATACCAATGTAAGTGTTACTTATTTAAGTGTTGATTAAGTATTGTTTTAGATATGGATGCACCGAAATGAAAATTCTGTCCCTAAACCGAAAATTCAGGATGCCCTTGGCCGAAAACCGAAACCGACTTTTTTCCCCCAAAAATGATTTAAAATTTTTTTTTTCCTAGAATTTTATTAAAATTAGACTTTTTAATGAATTTAATTAATTTAATATGAAAAACTTCCCTTCTCTCTTTTCTTTTAGTGGTCCCCCTCACTTAAGGTTCCTCTCGTGTTCCTCTCCCCTCCCTCTTTTTTAGTGTTCTTTCCTCCCTCCTCCCCAGTCCCATAGTGTTCTTTCCCCCCTCCTCCCCAGTCCTATAGTGTTCTTTTCTCCCCCCTCCCCTGTCCCGTAGTGTTCTTTTGTCCCCTCCCCTGTCCCAGTGTTCTTTCCCCCCATCCCCTGTCCCATTCTGTTCTGCCCTCTCGTCGCATAGTGGTCTTTCCCCCCTTCCCTGTCCCATAGTGTTCTTTTCTCCCCTCCCCTGTCCCAGTGTCCTTTCCCCTCCCCTGTCTCAGTGTTCTTTCCCCCCCTCCCCTGTCTCATAGTGTTATTACTGTAATTTATCACCTGTGACTTGTTCATTGATCCTTATAATACGGATATTATTCCGCCGACTGTGGTCTTCTAAATCGCATATTTTTTTGTTCCAGATCACCATATTTGGTAGATAATTGATCATATTGTGTTTGCCTCTTGCTTTTTTGAAAATCCAAAGTCTCCAGCCTTTTTTTAATATTTGTAATTTCTTGGTTTATTTCAACAATATCCTTTTTTTTAAAAAAAAATTTTTTTTTATCTCTTTAACATTATTTTGAAGCTCTAAGGAGATTTTTTCAAGTAATAGCTGTTGGCTTTTCCCCAAGATTTCAGAAAACATTGCATGCATCTCATTCAACTTGAATAAATGAGGCACCTTCACTTATTTCCCCCACACTTGGAGATTGTGGAGTAAAAAAAAATTTACAGCCTTTTTTCAGATCTGAAATCTTTGATATCTTTTTTTAAGGGCCCGACTTTCAGGATTCTTTTTTGAGGCCATTATTCAGTTATAAGCCAATGTATTTGACTCCTTAGTAGAAAATATGTTATTTCACTTGCTATGTCACTTTAACTCTTTAAGCGCAAGTTCACCTTTAAGCACAGAACTATAGACAAGTTGCTCATATATTAAATAAGACTCTCTCCTTTAGATATAAAGAATGAATTCTCCACTTAGTATAGACTTAAAAAGTATTATATAAGACTTTCTTCTGTAACCAGTCAGGTGATACAAGCCATGAATTGCAGAACGGAAAATTAGTGTATACTTAGAAAATAATATGTAGATCTTTCTTCTATAATCGATCAGGTGATACAAGCCACAGATTACAAAAAAGTTAAAAACAGAAACAGGTTACAATAAAATGCAAAAGATGACTCTCCTTTGGATAAGATATATGCTCCACATTAGTATATTTAAGAAATTATATGTAGAACTTTCATCTATGTCCAGTCAAGTGGTATAAGCCACAGATTGCAGAGGAAAAGTAAGTATATACTTAAAAAATAAATGTAAAACTTTCTTCTATACGATAAGTGTAAGACTTTCTTCTACAGACAGTCAGGTGATACTAGCCACAAATTGCAGAAAAAAAAGAAAAAGCAGAAAACAAGAAAAATATGGCAGGGTGCAATGAAATGCAGTTAGCAGATGAATTATATATTATTTGATTTTTTATATCATTTGAGAGAAGGATGTCCACTTCCCTGGAACTTCCAATCTATTAGCACCAGCTCATTACTCTGGAATCTCCTTATCATAGACTCTCCAGCTTAGGGGTATGGATTCCAGCCAGAACCCGTCTTTTGCTCCCCAACCGTCCCAATTTCTTTCCTCACACATGGGTCTTAAATATATTACCGCTACCGTGGCATCTTCCGTCTCCCGGTTACCAAAGTTCCCAGCGTCTCCAACTACCTTGTGGCGTCCTCCTGCTCCCGGCTTGTAGACTCACTAGATCACCGTCTCACAGGCTCCCATGCGTCTCCAGCTGCTATGCATCTGCCAGGAGCTCCTATATATAGATGATGGAAGTGCACTCAATCCTTCGTCATGGAATTAAGGGTGCTCTAATGGATAAGTCCCAGTACCAAAAGAACCAAGCATCAAATTTGAATCTAAAAAATAATCCAGGCACTCCAGCAAATTCCAAAGCAGAGGTAATTTTTATTGGAACAAGGAACCAAAAGGCAACGTTTTGACCCCTTAGGACCTTTGTCAAGCCATGAGCTCGTAGGCCTCTATCAGGCCTAAAACATGCATTCGTGACCCTATAGTGTTAAAAACACCATTTAGGTGCCTTGCCCCCCCTAAATGGTAAGAAAACTTACCTTATTTCCAGCACCACTGGCACTGCCCCCATCCACCTCCTTGGCTGAAGTAATCAGAATTGATGAACTCAGACAATCCAATGCTTTCCCATAGGAAAAGCATTTGATTGGATGAGATTGTTGTGGGGGCGGGGCCAAATGCCTGCTTGGCCAATCAGCATCTCCTCATAGAGATGCATAGAATCAATGAATCTCTATAGGGAATTTTTACTGTATCCATGCAGGATGTGAAGATGTTGAACATCAGTCCACTGGAGGTGTCACTAGTGAGCAATGTAAACACAGCTTTTTCTCTGAAAAGTCAGTGTTTACTGCAAAAAGGCTGCGCGGACTTACTATATTCACCAGAACAACTACATTAAGCTGTAGTTATTCTGGTGACTATTATCTATGGTCTCTTGTGAGCAAATTGGTATTAAGAATAATCATAATAATTCAGTTCTATAGCAATGGGGGAAAATTGTACATGTTCTGCAACAAGAACCTATGCCACAGAACCGCATTCTCCTCCCTGTATAGACCCAGCCACGACAGAGCAGAATGGATGTTCTAGATGGAGTCCTCGTCTAAGTCAACCCTTACTTTTTGCTCCACACTTTATTCTACTGTTGTCAAAACTTGCTGCGGCATTCTATTTTGCCAGGATCGGCTTGCCATATCTTATTAAGTTGTAGGATTCTATTTCTTTATTTCTCTCCATGGCTTGGCAAAGCTCCAAACACTCTTTCTTAAGTTCATGTGTCTAGAATCCTTTTGGTCTGAAAACATACATAGAACATAGAAGAAGGGTTATATTGTTCACATACTTCTTGCTGATCCATAAGTTATAAAGATCACAACACTAACGGTTTGCAGACAGACTATATACCTTTTGGTTTAAGTTTTGTTTGTTTGTTTTTGTAAGCAGTTGTCCCAGATGAGAGGTGTGAGCACACCTCAAGGTATTTGAGATGCTGCAAACACCAGTGGAACGGATGGTCCATTGCAACATCCAAGTCCTCAAGACAGGGTCTGAGATATTCAGGATCTCTAACTTTAAAAATAGTTTTTCAAATTGAAGAGTTTCCTGTAATGGGAATTCTTTCATGATTGCTGGATTAGATGTTTCTGGTCTCAGCACAATGAGCAGGAGGTCATCAACGTTTGCAACCATTTTACTATGATGGCTTTATGAGGGAAGACTTTCAGCCTAGCACTGCGCTGGATGAGAAGTCAAGTTCAATTATTGTAGCCTGCATATCAATTTGTGAAAATATCTTTAAAGTGTTGTCTCAATGGTGCTTATATCCCACGAGACTAATATGTATATACAACTTTCCTTGTATAATGGATGTCAGATGCTGTTACCACAAGACCACTTATAGACATACGTGGTGTGATTGTGACTGTATAGAGCCCATTTATTGGAACTGCTTGATCACTAAAGTGTAAATTGTTGAGAATTCAAAATGAAATGAAAAATTGAGAACAAAAATGTCAGATTGTTAACATGACGTGGAACATTTCTGTTTGTGCAATTTTTGTGTAAAATATAAATTTTTATTTATTTTTAAGAACATTGCATTATTGTAAGAACATTGCTATTATTTCAATGGTATAATCTAAAACCGCTACTTTTAAAATTCTTATTTTAGAATACCATGCCTGGAAGCTATAATGAAACAGAAATGGATGCTTCATTTGGGAACTTTGCTTTAGAGGAAGCAACTTTTGAGACTCCTCCTACTGCTACTACAAGTACATTTATTAGAAATCCTGATCACAATATGATGAAGAAAATAAAAGATTCAAAAACCCTTACGTTTGAATGGTATGTTTAATGCTTGCATGTTTTTATTACAAACTGTAGAACAGATTTACACCAGATATGCATTAACTAATATTAGCATTTTTGCCAAATTGTTTTTGTGCCATGTTAATGAATACAACAGAACACAAACTATAGATAGCTCCTAACATATTTAATGTAAAGGTAATAGAGGTGCCAGTAGGTTCTGCTCTGCTGTAAAATATAAAATGTAATAACTTTTATGTAATATTTACAGAGTTACATACGAATACAGATTGATAGAGGGCATTTCTTTAGTGAGCTATATAAGCTTTCCTGAATATGTGGGTTTTCAGAGCTAAATCTTTTGAGTTTGGGTAAGAGTCTTTGAGAGTCTAGTACTAAATTTAAGATGATGGAATCATGATGGTCAATACTACAGAAAGTAATAATGTGGTTAATGTGTCCCATAATAATTGCATTATGGTCATAGCAATAGCATCTACTTTCTACTGAACAAATCTAGCAGCAGAACTACAACTTCCTGAAGCCATGTACCTAAACAGAGATATTATTGGTGCAGAGATGAAACACTGCAGGTTTGGATTCTAGGCACAAATACGAGGCTGGTTGGGAGAGTATTTGTAGATAACAAACTACAAAACACTGAGCAGTGTTAGGACTCTGAAGACTTGAATCAGAACTTTATTGTGGAACTAGGATGATAACCTGTCTAAGAACTGGCAGAGAAGGAGATGATGAACGCTAAATGAAACAAGTTATACATTTTGGAGTGAGGATTGGTCTACGGTTATACGAGGTTGCTGTAGTCCAGACTAACAAGTATGTAAATTAATGTTTTGATTACATCCTGTGTTCGGATGCAATTGGATGTGGGCACTGAACAGCAGATTCAAATCTAGCACTGAGACCACAGGTTTTGGATTTCCCAAGATTGCAGCATTTTCTACTGTGGAGGAGATTTCAAGTGTTAGGATTGAATATTAATATGACTGTACAATCTCACCTTGTTCCTCATGTTTAAAACCTCTTCCACAGCACTTTACTAGAATCATTTTCAAAAGAAGAATCCTATACTATACACAAAAAAGGTCTTTAATTTTAATTTACACGTTTGGTTTTAATCAGATTTATATATTTATTTGCAGGTCTCAGAGCGCTAAAAACCAGAAAAGGGAGTCACTGTCATGCAGTGTTTTTAGGAAGCCTTTACCAAATCCACCAAGTATCAGTGCATGTGAATCATCTCCATTTCAGTCAACTAATTTGCCTAAGCAGGTAAGTGTTTATTTGGTCCAATTATTGCTTACAACAACTTAGAGAACTTTAACAATCAGTCAATAAGCAAATCAATTATACATGAAGCTGCATCCCTAAATATTTGCTATAAAATCACGTGTTTTAGCCACAACTTTCTCTTACTGCTACTGAGTAACCCAGTGGCGTACATACCAGGGTCGCGACTGCGACCGGGCCCGGCCCACCCGGTATGTTTGCTAGTGTGGCCACCCGGCTCCGGGATCAGTACGCGGCGTGCGAGGGAGCTGAACAGGAAGCACTGAGGGGAGAGTGCTTCCTCGCGCGCCTGCCAGCCAGCCTGCCCGTCGGGTGACACCACTGGACCCCAGGGAATCCTCTCCGCTCTCCCAAAGGTGGGTAGGCTGGGGGGATTACATTTTGTAAAAAACGTGAGTGTGTTGGAGTGTGTGTGTTAGTGTTAGAGTGTGTGTTAGAGTGTGTGTGTGTTAGTGATAGAGTGTGTGTTAGTGTTAGAGTGTGTTAGTGTTAGTGTGTTAGAGTGTGTGTGTGTGTGTTTGTGTTTGTTAGTGTTAGAGACTGTGTGTGTGTGTGTGTGTGTGTGTGTTAGAGAGTGTGTGTGTGTTAGTGTTAGAGTGTGTGTGTTAGTGTTAGAGTGTGTCAGTGAGTGTGTTACTGTGTGTCTGTTACTGAGTGTGTTAGTTTGTGTGCATCTGTTAGTGAGTGTGTATGTATGTCTGTCACTGAGTGTGTGTCTGTCAGTAAATGTGTGTCTGTTAGCTAGTGTGTATGCGTCTGTTCATGAGAGTGTGTGTATGTTTTATGGACTCCCATGGCGCTGGGGATCTCTCTGCCCCGATCCGCCTCTCAGCTCCGAATGCGCATGCGTGGCAAGAGCCGTGCACGCATTCAAACCGTTCATAGGAAAGCATTACTCAATGCTTTCCTATGGACGTTCAGCGTCTTCTCACTGTGATTTTCACAATGAGAATCGCAGAAGCTCCTCTAGCGGCTTTCAATGAGAGCTGGATTAACCCTCAGTGAAACGTAGCAGTTTCTCTGAAACTGCTATGTTTTCAGCTGCAGGGTTAAAACTAGAGGGACCTGGCACCCAGACCACTTCATTGAGCTGACGTGATCTGGGTGTCAGTAGTAGTCCTTTAAGTGTATGAGTATCTGCATGCACTGGCGTACATACCGCGGTCCTGCGACCAGGTGCCCGCCGCCATGTGTTGCGGCCCCAGCCCGCGCAGGGTAAATGCACAGGAGTGGGGGGATCAGTTTTCACGGGGCCCCATGGGTTGTGTGTACGCCACTGGAGAAACCTATTGTAGATTTTGAAACTTGCATTGCCTGGGAAATGTGTGCAAGTATTGGTAAATCCCAGGAACAGATGATTGCTACTTACCACGAGATACAAGCATAGATCATTAGTAATGAATAGTTATCAAAGAAGGATAAATCATATAATGGCAAATAAAAGGCAGTGTTTACATTGCTGCCTTAGTTCACCCGCCATGTCTATTACTTGGACAGCCATTAGAGGGACTTCCTGGACGAGGTCCTGCAATCTTTGCAAGATACACTGTTAGCCTCTCAGTGTTGAAAGCTTCTATAAATATGCATTGAATCAATGCATCTATTCTGAGGAAATGCGGATTGGCATAGTGCAGCAATTTGGCACACGTGCACTAGCCTACCAGTGCACGTGGAATAGCATTGAGTTGGCTGAGGATTGATGATCTCAGCTAAGGAGGCTCTGTTAGCAGTATTGAGACCTTTTTTTAAACCTTTGGGGAGGGTGGAGGTGTAATCTATTTGGTTAAGGAGAACATCATAGTGTTAAGAATACATGTTTCATTTAAAGAAATAGAACGGCTACCACTTGCTTTTAGAACATCTTCAATTTGTCTTGGATACATTGAAAGTTGAATAAGAGATACTTCACCTTACTTTATAAAGAAAAGCTTCCATTTATTTAACACTCAAAGCTCCAGAACATGCAAACTATGTTCAGGGATGTATACATCTGGTGATTGTGAAGCATGTTAGACATTATCTGTGTCTGCTTTCAACTAAAAACTACAGCCTGTATGGCTGGTTATTGCTATTGAGAACTAAAAAGACCAATGTTAATCTTCCTATAAACCACCTGCAACCATTTGTGCACAACAATAAAATTGAGGGTCTCCTTAGTTATTGAAATTGTTTCTTGTGGTCCACCTTTGAAATTCTGCCAAGTGGATTGATATAAATTTAATGTCCTTTACATCTTTGGTTCCTCGCCCCACCTGTCACTCTGTCAATGGTATTAAACCTTTACAATGGTGGCACAGAGCGTGTGAGGCAGGGATATCAAACTCTGGCCACCCAGATATTCATTGCTTACCAGTTGCAGATTTATTTGAATACAGTAGATGGTAGGTGAAGAGCAATAAAACAATCTCAAATGTAGCTCTGTATTCCCTGTCACTTTGCTACTCCCCCAGCAACCATTTCTCAAGCTTAGGCTGCACCTTGAGCTGCTGGCAGCAGGCGAGTTCCAATATAACTCCCAAAGCATAGAATTATATTATGTCACTAGGATAAATAATATATTAACTCCCTTCGGAGCTTATATGTTAAAGTGAACATGTGATGGCAGGGTCACTTTAAATTATAAATGCTTTATTATAATATAATAATAAAGGCTAATATTTACAAAACAACTAAAACATACGAACCCATATACTAAGTGTCAGGATTATGTAAGATCTTGAGCTTAACTCATGCTTTTATTTTCATGGAAGTATATTATCATAAAACATAATTGCAAGTCAAATATTTATTAGTAGGATATTTTAGTTCAGCATAGTTTTAAAGAATCTTTAAAGCTTGCTATAATTTGTTTAACAGAGGATTAGTTACATGTACATTGGTTTTATATTTTTGATTTTGTATTATAATATATTTCTTTGTGTTTTTACATTAGAGTGAAATTGTATCTGGCATGAATACAGACACATCACCACCTCTTAAAGACATTGGTTAGTATAAACTAATAAAATGCGCAGGGAAATGAAAGGGAAACCAATATTTTCCAAAAATGTTAATATTATGTGTACCCCTATATACCCCTATATTTAACAAATATGCATGTATCTACAACTGTGTACGTCCATCTTGGCTCCCTGTCAATCATTGTATAATCTCTGTTAATCATTGCACCTGGTGGTCTAGAGAAAGCATACAGACAAGAGGAGAAATGAAAATTAAAATAAGCAGAGGAACAACCCAAACAAATATTAATAAAACAGTAGAAAGATTTCTTAAAAAATATTCAATGGGGGCGTGGCTGACTTCCAGTATGGATGGTTGCATGGAGTAAGGGCTCTGCATCCAGCCTAACCCAAAGCAACATATAAGCTCGATTTTCTCTGCAAAACACGACCCCGTGAAGCACACAGTGCCCAGTTACCGACTGATGTCTCAGTCGAAACAAATGAAGCTCACTTAACCGTTCGGATAGGGAAGAAAAGAGCGCCACAAGGTGCAGCAAGATGGCGCCGACTCAGCCGCACACTCTCCAATATCGGAGGGCCCATCAGAGCCTGAAATCACTCCAGACACACTTGGGGACAAACCTGTAACAGAAAAGAGCATCTACAAAATGCTCCAAGACCTGCGGTCCACGATTCAGAAGGACTTTCAGCAGATTACCTCCTCCATACACAAAGACCGCTCATATCTGGGTGAGAGGACAAACCACCTTGAAAATAAGCTAGTAAATTAGGTGGACAGCACTAAGAATTATTATAATAAAATCATACATACAAAGGTAGCAGCAGATTTCACAATTATGTTTCTTACTGTTTTCCAGAGCTTTTAAGAAATATAATTGCAAAATCTGCTGCTACCTTTGTATGTATGATTTTTTTATAATAATTCTTAGCGCTGTCCACCTAATTTTCTAGCTTGTTTTGTTCTATTGTTCACAAGGTAAAATGAACTCCTTGTTGGTGAATAGCTGCTTTATTGGATAGAGAGCACTTATCACTTTTTTCACTACCTCGAAAATAAGACAGAGGAATTGTGCACTGCGCACAATGATGTGGCAGATAGGATCCAGAGGCTAGAAGAGGAACACGCCATGGTGAAAAGCAAACTTGGTGACATGGAGGACAGATCCCGTCAAAATAATGTCAGCTTTCGCGGCATTGCCAACTCAGTCACCACAGAACAACTCCCGGCCTACATCACCGTGTTGTGCCAAGCGCTCGCACCGGAGCTGCAGGATACCGCATGGCTGCTGGACAAAGTACATCGCTTACCGAGACCTGCCCGATTCACTGCGGCCACACCATGAGGTGTGGTGGCACGCTTACACTATTACAAATCTAAGGAAGCCCTACTGAATACCACCAGGAAGATACAAGAGTTACCAGAGCCGTACCAGCATCTCAACCTCTATGCAGACCTGTCAGTTTCAACTATGGCCTAGAGGAGAGAATTTCTTACAACGACAAAGACCCTCCGCAATCACAAGATCCCCTATCGCTGGGGCAATGGCTCTCTTCACAAGGTTCTGAAACCGGAGGTTGGACTCAGCAAAATCAAGGAGTGTGGCCTGTGGAGGAACCCTGTAACTGACTCACCTGCGCAACCGTCCTCGCCTAAAGTACTACCAGAATGGTCCATGGTGGGATCCCAGAAACGGGCTTAACTGAGAATGTTTACAGTTCCCCATTGCAAGTTTGGTGGTCAGGACTGCCTGTTTTGGCTTATAGTTCACAGTCCCCTCAGAAGCTGGCGGTCTTCCCTATGTCCACGGGCTTATGCCCATGGACTTGTCACAGACTGCTTCAGGCTGTATTCGTTATTCGTCGGACACATACGATACATACAATGAAACCGCAAAAAAAATAAAATAATAATAATTATGTTGAGAGCTATAATGAAGGAGTTGTTAAATTGTTAAACTGTTATATGGCATGTCAAAATGTATTGCCCCCTTTTGGGCTCACTTTCGTTGTTTCGGGGTTGTTATTGCTCCATATGACACCTCGATGCATATCCAGCTATGCCAGCTCTTATGGGTTGTATGCTACAGGACCAAACGCTCCGAAGCAGTTATACATGGCTGGCGTGCAAAGAGTATTTAAAGAAGATGGTATTAGACTTGGGTGGTCTATGTAATATAGAATAATTCATTTTTTGCTTATCACACATGTATTTAGCTTAAACCAGCACTATAACACGCGTTTCTTAGAGACGCCCATCCTAGCGCCCCGAGCAGGCCAGTAGCAGTACTTTCAGAATTCTTGTAGCTAGGGCCCGACGTAGTGTAGGGGCGATCACCAACAATGCTGCCAGCACAAGTATCATGTTTCTTAGAGGGTGGGATAAGGGGACATCACCAATGATGCTTCAATTCACTTATACCTACAGCATGCCACAGTGCCCTACAAATGGGCACAGTCCACGAGTGGTATACGAATGGAGGGTTAAGATATTGCCTATGGTTGCCAACTCTATTTGCCCAACCAGGCAGTTAATTATATTATAGTATGGTATGCTCGTAGGTACAAACTCAACCCTCTTAGGCAATGCCATACAACACCAAAGGAGAAATACTTCCGTAACAAAACATGTATGTGGGTTGAGTTGCTCTGGCCTCTCCTACCGCACTCCCCCAGGCGGTTGATATGGTGCATGGCCCACTCGGCCCAGCATCTGGCCGTAGGTTACACTCTCCTCACCGAGAGTGATTGTATATACTTTGTTTATATTATGTTGATGTTTGCATTTATTTTTGTCATTGCACTGCCAGTGGACCCTTTTCATATGATGGAGACAGTTCTGTGCCCCGGTAGACAGCTGGGGTTCCCCACACTCCAGAGTACCTCCCTGTTATGCTACTTGGTTTATTTGGGTTGGAACTCAACTGCAGCTTGTAGAACTCCCTAATTACAATAGTAATGAAACAGAGAATCTTTAAAGTATCAATACTGTAGCTTTAAGAAAAGAGAGGATTGCTGGCAACTTAAGATTCAAACGAAGTTTTAATGATTGTTAAACTTAAATGAATTGCATTTAGGCAATAATCCAATAGGAAGAAGTTCAGGTACAAATAATACAAAGTTCATTAATAAGTATTTCTTCAGTGAAGCATTAAGTAAGATTCATTAAGTTCATGAGAATAATCTTCAATAGAAACATTAAGCAAGTAGCTGAGAGTATTCGCAAAGCAAGAACAGTTCATAGTTAATAAGCATGATGGGAGTTGTCCTCCATATAATTAGAAACTTGAAGCAGAGAAGAATTGAGCAAGCAGGAATTAGTTCATTGATTAAAGAGATTGCAGATAATAGTTGAAAGCTATACTTAAGGTTAATGTTATCCTCGAAGAGTTCAGAGATATAGTCCACTTGTGAAGTAGAAGGTTATCCGTTCTCCTGTAATCCTCTATGGCATTAAGCATATTCCTTCCCTCAGTTCAGAAGGCTAGGACGGCTTATCAGAGCTTGTGGAGCCGGCGTGTAACCGGATCAGGCGTGCATACCCCGGAAGTAGGTCCCAGTATCACCAAGCCCTTCTCCCTGGCGCGGTCTCTCTAAATACTGTCAGAGCCGTGTCAGAGGGGGGCGGGGCCAGCTCCGCATAGCGGAGAGCCAAACTCGGAAGAGATACTGCATGACAGGACCCCCCACCTAAGGAGCACACTCTGGGTGCTATTACCTCGGTTTCTGAGGGTACATTTTATGGAAGGCAGTAATCAATTTCTTTGCATGAATTCCAGAGGAATTCTCCCAGGTTTTATCTTCATCTCCATAACCCTTCCATTTAATAAGGTATTGTAAGTTACCTCTATGAAGTCTGGAGTCAAGAATTCTCTCTATTTCATATTCCAATTCACCTTGAACTTGAATGGGGTCAGGCTTTGACAATTGTTCCCTATGGAAGGGATCTGGGAGAAAAGGCCTTAGAAGAGAAACATGAAAAACAGGATTAAGTTTAAGTGAAGGAGGAAGTTTTAATTTCACAGCATTTTCATTAATAATGTATTCAATTTGGGGGCGGCGCCTGACTTCCGGCGTGAATGGCGGCTTTCTAAGGGAGCTCCGTCCTCGGAGGCACATACCCGGCGACCATCAGCACCCGCAACCGGCTTTCTCACACCCACCCGACCACCTCGTATCTCATCCACGGTACCCCACTAAATAGCGATGGGGGACGGGCGGAAATCGAAGCAGGGAGCAGAAGTAGCTCCGATATTCCGGAGCCGCAAAGATGGCGGCGCCACGCGGGAAGAAGAAGAAGGCCGCGAATACGACTCTGACTCTGCAGCCAGTGACAGGAGCAGAACAATGACAGCTACCCCCCTCACCAAAGAGGACCTCCGCCAGCTACTAAGTGAAATCAAGGCAAATATGGCTACAGAATTTGACAGGCATCTCACACCCATCAGAGAAGGCCTGATTGACTTAACCCACAGAACTTCCACTATTGAGGAACAACTGGACCGGACAGTTACACGCACAACAGCAACTGAAAATGCCATAACCGACCTACAAGAACAGCTCCGCCAGCTAGAGGAGGCACAAGAGGACCTGAACAACCGGTCCCGCCGAAATAACATAAGGATACGTGGAATACCAGAAACGGTCACAATGGAGGCACTGGGCCCAACGCTACGAGAGCTCTTTTGTGGCCTGCTCCCAGAGGCCTCACCGGCGGAACTCCTACTGGATAGAGCGCACAGGGCTCTCCGAGCACCTATGCCCAATGCAACCCAACCCAGGGATGTCATCATAAGAGTGCACTACTTCCACATTAAAGAGGCACTCATGCAAGCGGCACGAAACACCCCATTACAAATAGAAGGTCACCAAATCTCCTTCTACCAGGACCTGGCCCCGAGCACCCTGCGCAAAAGGAGGGAGCTGCGGCCCCTCACTCAGGAGCTCACGAGGCAACACATCCGCTACTCATGGGGGCACCCATTTAAGCTGCAGGTCCGGAAAAACAACCGCACCTACACCCTATACAACACCGCGGAAATGGCGGATTTCGCAGAGAGCCTTGGCCTGGATCTCACAACTCTCACCACGGATCCGAATCCCAGAAGACACGACAGAGGCCCTCCGCCCAGAAATGCACCACCGCCAGCCCCGACACGCCAGATACCGAATAGCCCACGCATCAGGGCCGACATCTAAACGGACCGACAACCACTCACCACTCGACGCACCAACAGATGACCAACACAAGAAATAAGAAACGACACGGACCATTCTCAAGAGGGTTGTGGTTACCATAGCTGAAAACGTACCCGAACACAGAACCTGGACTGACTCCGGCACTAAAGAACACTGGCAACCCCACACCCCAATAATGGACTGGAAACAGCCTAAACCGCTGACAACTCCAAGCTCCAGATAAGATATAATTAACAAACTCTCTCCTTGCTTTGTATAATGTTTCCTGTTCGCTGTTTGGTTGATAGGACTCATTCGATAGATAGAAATTATATGTTTCCAGCTCGCTACTTAGTCAATAGGTATCTTCCAATAGATAGAAATTATAGACTCAGGAATGCAGGCGGCACGCACTAGTACCCTTCTCGGTACCAGCCTATGTAGTCACAGACCACTGCTATCCCTGGAGCAAAGTGGAACAGTTGCCCCACACTCACCCACCACACAGGTATCCTAGATGCCACAGCATACAACACCACGACCTAGCACCAAAACAGTGCAGATACCCACAGGGAGGCACACCTTGGGTGGGGAGGGAGGGCTGGGGCACCCCCCAACAATGGACATGGCAGGCGCCCAATGATAGACACCTTTCAGGAGTACACCTCAAAACACCGTTGGCTCCTTTGAGCGCAAACACTTTCCCAGGAGACTCAATAAAGCAGTATCCGGGACCA